GGAAACAAAGAGATTAAACAAGGAGAAACGAGGAGAAACAAAGAGAAACAACGAGAAGTTTGATTGGACAGAATTCTATTTGTTTCTCTTAATTGAAACAACTAGAAACAAAGAGAATCAAAGAGATACTTAATTGAACAATTTTCTYGTTGTTTCAACAAAGAGAAGGCAATATTCTCTTTGTTTTCAGACCATCGGGAAACTGTGCRATTTTTTTAATTTTTTTAATTTTCATGATACATATGCGTAGGATTTTTCAACACAAGCGAATCCAACGGATGAACGYTAAATTTAACGGTCATTGATTCAGATCAACATAGTAGTCGGAGTAGCAACGATGAGTGAGACCACCATTTGGGTCTAAATCAGTCTTGCGCCGAAACTAACRGAGGGCCCAGACAACTCATTCTAAACAGTAGTAGGGTAATTATCATATAGAGTTRGCCAGCAGATCTATGATCCAGTTGTAGATTACAGGCTATCTTTTTGCACACGGTCAGTACTTGGTGTAGTAATGATACTCAAATTTTTGAATCCCACCAGTCGTGCAACCAAAATAGTTTCCCTCACATGTGCATGCTGTAGGCCTAGTACAAGTCAAATCTTTAATCCCGCGAGTCATGACACTGTAATTAGATGGCCCAAAATCCATGCATAGTAGAAAAAAACCAGGTAGAGCATTAAGAGAGGTTCAACTCACTTGAACAGCTATATCTTTTTCCCCAACAGAGGCTTAACAATGATAAGCACATGAATCAAATCCCAGGAAAAATACAAATGCAGCAATATGGGGGGTTATGGGGCGTTATTTATCATAGTATAAAGTTGTACAGGGCTGTATATACACAATTGCTAATGTACAACTGGGTCGTCTTTTTCTGCTTGGCCCATGCTATACAATATTTTCAAATCAATTCTGTATTTATCTAATTCAGTGACACCATAGCACTAGAAGTATTGACAGCAGGGAATTTGACTTTCTAGTACWAGTAGTAGCACTACCTTCTAAAACAAGTAAGAGGGCCATAACCAAAAAAGATTTATGTACTACATAATACTACCACCATCATATTTCTAGTCAGCAGTAGTAAAATGAAAGGAGTGCTTTTGGTTCATCCTTTCTTACTACTGCTAGTACTGAGCAAATGGAGAGGGGGAAAATCAAAATAGAGATATTTTGGTGTAAAAATTTAGTCATTTTGAAGTGGTGAGCAACCAAAAATGGAATATGAGAATGTGGCTACTACTGTTGATTTGACACACCTTCTAGATTATGAATGAAAGTTTAATCATCCAACTTCTTGTAGTGACTGGTCTTGATGATGATACTACTACCACCAAACAACAAAGAATAGATGCCTTACCAATTTTTTTAGAAACACAAAAAAGCTACCTGTTCAACTCCATGGCAAGCTTTTTAGGACAATTCCATCAGGGTTCTCTTCCACTCATGATGAAAGAGTCCCATGGTATTATTTGATTGTGATTTGGAGTAGTACTACTAACACTGCTGCAACTTATTTCCAGTACTACCAGCAGTAGTAGTATTCTTTTTTGTACAAAACTAGAAGACATGCTGTTCAATTGTTATGGTATAGACTTGGCAAGCAAATGTACACACCAGCTGTAGATTTTGGGCCCTTATTTTGTGTGTAATGACTACTAGTTTAACTAAAAAACTGGCTTGTACTGGTCCTGCAGTTAGATTTTTTWAAAATAAAATAGTTTCCCATACACCCCACAAAGGGCAATATTCTCATTGTTTCTTGTTGTTGTAACAAAGATAAACTAAGAGAACATTGCCTCTCCTTGTTTCTCTTTGTTTCACATTGTTAAAATAAGGAGAAACAATGAGAATATTGCCTGGGCAATGTTCTCATTGTTTCTCTTTGTTTAAGCAGAGTGAATTTAACCTGGGCACTGTTCTCTGCATTTTTACATAGTGAAATGATGGGGGCAATTTCCATTCATACAAAGAGAAACAAGATAATGTTGCCCGAGCAATATTATCTTTGTTTCTTCATGTTTAAACAAAGAGAAACAAAGAGAACATTGCTCCTCCTTGTTTCTCTTTGATTTGTCAATTTTTAACAAAGATAAACAAAGATAATATTGCCCGGGCAATTCTCTCTTTGTTTAAACATGGTGGAAAAACCTATGGGAAACCCTGATCTTGGTTGGTGACTGACTTCCTTAAAAACTAACGGAGGGCCCTGCAGTTTACAGCCAGGCATATGGTGAATTTTTGAGTCCCATCAGTGCAAACATGCTCAAACTATTGCTGTACCTGTAGTACAAATCCAAATTTTTACAGCCCAAAATTGACACATAGTACAAAATACATGTAGAGAGATAACGAAGGGTCAACTCACTCAAACAGCTAGTATCTTGGTCCCCAATAGATGCTTAAGTATGATAGGCACATGAATTAAATCCCAGTAAAAAGAGGATTCTAGTGATATGGGGGCGTTGGGGGATCCTTGTAATGGAACATATCAAATTATGTGTAGTATGAATATGGAATTCAAAATGTACAATTGGTGCACCCGGAATCAGTTGGCTGAGCCTATACAATAGGGGTCAATAATTCAATATTTTTGAACACATTTTACAACTCTTAAAATGCTTGACAAATTGCAAATAGATCATTGTAGAGAGACTTTGGGGATCAAAGAAACAAAAATTTGTGATGTTCTACTAGTACTAGTACATTGGTTCAATCCTTGTTAGGTACTTTCAATTGCAATGCCTAACAATTTTCTGATGCATGATGTTCATGTAATCAACATTAAAATATTTAAGTACAAGATTTGTCATTATAGCCATTGATGTGAACAGTTGAACATGGAATGCAGCAATTACACTACTCTAATCATTTTACTTGACAATTACAACAATTAAAACCAAAATGTTCTTTATTTGTCAATCATCACCAGTTTGAAGTTACTATTTGACACCTATATTCACTCATGCACATGTATTGATTAAGATCAAAAATATGCTGTGAATCTAAATGCCAATGAAAGTACACTACTATAGTAATACTGTTACTATCCAATGGAAGCAAACATTGTGGTCATGCTTACCAGTAATTCAAGTGCTTCTGCATCTTGGTGTGGTTCTTAACAGTAACCCTATCTGCCCCTGCAGCCCAAATTTTTCAATTCAATACTATTTAGTAGTACCACCCAAGCAAGCATTTAAGCAAGCATTTACACAGAGAATACTTCTAGCTGTTATGTAAATGAATGCAGAGGGAAAAAGCACTGGGACTTTCTTCCCTTTGGGTACAAATCCAGTCAAGAATATCAACAAATGCAAACTTGATTTCTTGAAAAATCAAACCCCACTTCTGCTGTGTTTCATTTCATAATATATCAAATGATGTGGACAGGATGAGCATAAAGATAGAAACATTACAATCAGCTAGTAAGCATTTGGTGAAAGTTTTTCATTTCATGAATCTAAGATGAAGCTGGTTCACAATTCTTGTGTTGTAACACTGGTAGCATTTAATAAAAAAGATTGCAAACAGAAACCAAAGTTAGAAAACTGGATACTGCCAAATCATAGAGATTTATTGCAATGGAAAAGGCAACAAGTTTGAATTATGCAATATTGACCTTTCAAATTTGTTCTGTTGGATCTTCAAGAAAAGACACACAGATCAGAAAAATATTCAAATTGGTCTATTTAGAATGTTAGTATATTGAAGTTCGGAAGGATGCAGATAGACACTCCAAGTGGCAGCAGCCCTGAGAGAGTACTGTCATTTCTATGCACCATGACTACCAACTAATGGAGAGGATGACTCAGGGAACATAAAAGGGGTTTGTTCACAATTTTGATGGATAAGAGTTATACCATGACCGTTTCCATGCACACTGAGAAGCCCAATTAAGGCAGGTTCCTAGTACCAATGAACAGAGATCAGCATCACTTCTAAACTTTTAAAGGTGTATGCAATTGCAGAAAAGTTGACTTGAAGGTTTCAGCATTTATTGAATACATGGTACTACCATAAGATAGGACCCAAAAGTGAGCCGAAAGTGATACTGAATTGTAGAAAACTTTCCATTCAGTATTTAGGTAGTAGCACACTTTCTCTTCCGTTCTATCAGCTCACTTTCGTGTCGGCTTGAAAACGCAACCCTAAGATCTTTCTCGAGCTCTGTTAGGTCGGTACTGGCGGCCTTCGGAGTTTGCAAAATTATGACGCTCGTGTCGTACGAGCTTTGCTTATATTGGGTCGGCCGTAGATGCTGCGCACCCTCGACATATCCGTGTTCTCTTGCATTGAGGAGGACATGTCTCGTACAATACGAGCTGGATAGCATAGTACGAAACGATCTAGTAGCAGCAGATTTAGCAACTGCTATATCATTGTTTTCATCAGAAGATATTGCCGATTTAGATTTCCTCTTCTTTTTGTTGTCTGCAGACGGAACCACCACAACAAATGTTAAGGGGATGTTGTTTTTGTCGCCCCTACGGAGAGCTTCCACCATGTGATCTACCATAGCCATCATGATCCCCGGAGTGAATGGCGGATTCGCTTCGCAATATTCACCATTATCGTTCTCATCGGGCTGTATCTTTGCGTCGAACTTGCAATCGAAAAAACGTCCCACCGACCCAAAGTGCCAGTCTAAATCTGGAAAGGCCGATGCAAAGCGTGGCAAAGCCGCATTGAACGGAGAAGCAAATCCCTCGAACCACGAATTGGAGGACGGGCTATCTTTTCCCTTCGAAAAATGTGCCTGCAACACTTCAAAGACGCTCGAATGAATGGCACCTTCCAGGGAGTCAACGACATACATTGACCATGATGGTAGAAAAGAATTCAATTGTGATTAAACAATCTTTTACAATAGCATAGCAAGGGCAGCACACAAATATCTTTCTCACCTTGCATTCCTCCACCTCTCAAGTCGTCCAATAGCCCTCCACCTGACAAGGCGGAATACCGCAGTAGCAAGGCCAACACCAAAACATGGAACGAACGTTCCACCATCGTTTCCATGTTGTTCTTGACAATTTTCCCCCCACCAAAGATGAACCTGGGGTGAATTTCAAGGAAACGATCCTTCAATTTTTTATAGTGAATCTGATTAATGCGGAAGCAAAACGGCTTTTTCCATTTTTTCCGCGAATATTCTAAGCTCACAAATGTATTTGTCGACGACGGTTTTGTGGACATGTTGATTCGATCTCCTTTATTCAGCGGAGACTGCCGTCGATACCTATCCTCCTGGGATAATAACTCCTGACACGCTAGATTTGTCGTTCGACAAAGCTTGGCAATGACGTTTTCCGCGTCCGTCTGATCGACACCGTTTTGTTTGCTGGTCAGCTCCGACAGCAACCGTTGGGATGCCCCCGAATCGGGCGACGATCGAAGCGTCAGCACACAGTCACCCACAACGCCCTCACTCTCCTCTTCGTGCTTTGAGTCCAATAGCCAGCGCTCAAAAAGGGGCATCCGGAGATCCTTACCCGCAAACTTCTTGTTCTTTAGTAAGAGATCGGAAAGTTCCTTGACCTTGAAATTTCTTGCAATTTCTTGGTCAATGTTGGGGAGCAATCCAGGGCTGTAAATGCCACCATTCGCCCAGGTTTCAAAGCTTCGGTTCCAATTCTCGATATCTTCAGCACTCATCATGTATTTCGACGAGGTTTTGGCTTTGTTGGCCTGTTGAATCCAGGATGGCTGTCGAGGCGCCCCACGCTTTGGTGGATGGATCGTCTCCGGGTATCGAATGCTGATGGATTCTATCGTGTTTTCCGGAGCAGAGATGGCATCATCGTTTTGTTGCGGTTGATTCTCGCTCCGACTTTCTGTATGGAACATCATCTCAGCCATACAGTCGTCAATCGAAGCGGCTCCTCCCAAATCACCAAACCCTGTGATGTTCGAGAGGCCGGAAAACGTGCTCACGTCCTGGACCTTTTGTCGTTTGCTCTTCTTCTTTTTCGGCATGTTGATAAGTTCTGCAGTGAATTTTCGTTTCGTGTCAAGTTGCTAGGGTTCTTTGCAACGAAAAGAGATTCGAAAAAGTGAAGAGACAAAGTGTTACGACCCGGACCCTTAACCATTTGTAAAGCGTGAGATTCATGGTAATGATTCTTCTATTGTTTTTGTCTTCAGTCGTTAAAAAATTCTTTGAGGTCTTCGTCCAGTACAGGTTGTACGGTAGCTCGTAGCCGTACGATACAAGATGGTTGATTGGTAGTGGGGGGATAGAGTTATTTGGCGCGCCATAAGAATTGATTGGCTCACAAAAATTGATACAGGAGGATCTTATAAATTTTCCCATCTCCCCCTGATATGTACGTAAGACAAGYACTATGTACAGTACGTACAATACTGAACATTCGAAGAGGAGTGACGGAGTCCCAGTTTGATCGATACTGTACAGTATTCATCAAAAGTGAATAGAATTCTGAACTGAATCACCGAACACGTTGCACCCGCAACAAGGATAGTTGTGAATTGTTTTCGCAGTCGTACCTTGAATACGAAGTCAAAACGCCAACCTCCGGAGTCATACAGGACCTAGCGGAGTTTGTTTCTGTAGATAGCTTATTTAATAACGACCAAGGTTTAGTGCAGTAAGAAGACAACAATAAGTCCATCAGTTTCAGATAACGTCCAAGGGAAGTTAAGTTAGTATACTTCGCTGCTTTCTGCCTACGTAAATAATGTGTGGACCAACRGTGAAGACTATATCGCCCGAGGCGAAGGAGGCTCGTGCTGCTCCGACGTCGAAAGAAGAAAGAACGACGAAGATCCTTGGCAACGAGAAGAGCCGCACAGTTCCTGTGAACAGTACTGTCGCAGAACCAGAGCACCGGGGGTTTCTGTACGGTACGTTATCTCTCGCCTTGTTGGTAACGGCGGCCTCTGTCAACATGGGATTCTACCAAACGAAGAGAGACACGCTCGGGTGCGACGTTCAGTGCATCGGGACGATGACGTCGGCGAGGTCGACTCTGACTCTTCTGGGCTCAACGATCATCGGAAAGTGTTCCGATTCAAAGGCTCTGAAAATGGTCGGAGGAGCCCGAAAGTTCTTTCTGATGCTAGGGGTCGCAGCGTCTGCTCTCGATGTTCTGCTTTCCTTCCGAGCCACATCGATCGATGRGCTGTGGATTGGGATGATCCCATCGGCGCTATGCCAGCAGAACTTCACAGTGTTGAAGGCTCTTTTCATGGAATACCATGACGAATCGGCATCGGCAGCAGAAAGAGCCGGCAGGGTCGGCAAGCTCGGTATGGCGGTAGGGCTGGCCTTCATGGCTGGGCCTTTGCTAGGTTCTGTGTTCTTCAAGGATCATCGAACCGCATCTTTGTTTGCAGCTTGTTGTCTGCTCGGATCTATCTTTTTCGTATCTCTACTGCCAAACCCTCCGAAATCGACGATTGCGTCCAGAGAAAAGGAAGCCAACAAATCATCGTCGTTTGGATTTGGTAGTTTCGTCCCTGACCTCGTGCCCGCCGCTAGAACTCGCCCCGCTTTGTTTCTCATGGTGTCGCGGGTTTGCATGGGCCTAGCCTTTCACATTTTCCAAACGATATGGGCGGTTGCGCTGAGACAGCGCTTTAATTTCGGCCCAAAAGATTACGGTCGATACTACTCTTTCATCGGATTTGGTTTTGCGATTTCTCAGGGCTTTTTCGCCAAGTATCTTCTGAAGAATTTCGGAGCCAGCGATAGGGGCCGAACGCGGCTTTTGCTGGCGTGTGCCTTGATTCTTGGTGGCGGCCGGTTCATGGTCTACCAAACGCACAGCCTCGTCGTCGTATACGCYGTCTTTGGACTCATCATCACGGCACTGGGCGTGATCAATACGATTTTCACCGCTGACACAAGCAAAATCGCCGATCCCGATGAACTGGGAGGGTTGTTCGGCGTGCTGGGAAGCATGGAAAGCCTCGCCGGAATCATTGGGCCAATTCTTGGTGGAGTGCTGGCAAATTACGTGCATCAAATCTGGGGTCCGCTGGGTGCCGTGCTTTCCCTTTATGGATTCGTCTTCACAATGATTTATTTCGGCTACGAACATACTGTGTGCAAAGGAAAAACAACCGAAACAAAAAAGAATGTCTAAATCTAAACAGCACTGCGTCCACAGTATGTTTTGTTTATATACGGTGCACGGTACTGTCGTTCGTGTAATCCCGGGAAGGGTTCGGCACCTTGTCTATTGCAGCAATGATAGAAGAAGGATGATATTTATCTGACAACACATCACTAGCTCTGCAAGAAATGTAAAATACTGTCCGGGGTCACTACGGTATCTGAATTTTATTTCTAAATATGATTAATGAATATTATACAGTGTTTTAACACATTTCTATCACGCATTTCCCTTGCCCCACCCTGTGTGATCTATTTGCTTTTTTTCGATTTCTTCTTGGTGGCAGAAGATTTTGATTTTGAGGATGGCTTTGATTCTGCTTTCTTCTTGAAAGATTTTTCATCCACATTTATATCTATTGTAATCATGCTTGAATTTTTTGAGCCCAACGATGGTTTTGTTTTGGATGATTTCGATTTCGACTTTGACTTTTTCTTAGAGGACGACGACTTGCTTTTTGGTTTGGGGACGTCGGTATCGTCAGCCGACAGACCACTATCCTTGGAGTCGCAATCGTCGGATTTTGTGGATTTTAAGGACGTCGATGATTTTGATTTCTTTTTCGATTTCTTCTTGGAGGAAGAAATCTTTTTGGCTTTTGGATCCACTCTGGGTTCCTTTGTCTCAATAATAATGACAGAGCGATCCTCATCCTGATCATCCCCACTGTTCCAATTGTCATCGTCGCTGTCCCCGAAGTAGCTTATATGTTCACGTTGTTGGTATTGGTGATGTCCGTCTTGGTATTCGTCGTCGTGTTCGCCCTGTTTATCACCCTGGTGTTCGTCTTGGTGTCCGTCTTGGTGTCCATCTTGGTGTTCGCCTTGTTCATCGTCCTTATTTATATCATAGTGTCCATCTTGACGTTCGTATAGGTCTTCAAAGTCGTCTTCTTGCTCGTATTCGTCTCCGACTTCGTTCCAGTATTCCTGGTCGTAGTCGATCTCTGGTTCGCGCGCAGYCATCGATTTATATTTTTCTTCCTCTGCAGCGATGATAACGTCCCAGTAATTGTTGTCCTCTAGGGATTCGGTCTCTGAAAAATAATCGTCGTCTGTGGATATCTCATCACTGTGAATACTTTCTGTTCTGTCGGCTCCGAATTCCGATTCCGTCTTCATTCCCATCCAGTGCTCAATTTCRATTTCGATTTGGCTGGGGACTCCTTTTTCGATGTCTTCGTAATCGTCGAGATAAGTAATGTACTCCTCTTCGTAACTTTCTTTCTTCGCAGCGAAAAAGTCAATACAGCAGCAGTAGAGACCACCGCAGAAGATCGTTGTGTAGCAGGCAAGGAAGAAGACGATAACAATAATCACCATGAGAATGATCGTGTTTCGAAATTTTGGTGGCATTTTGCCGCGGCCATTGTTTCCGATGAAGTCGAGTTCAATAGACACGTCTTCAAAGGTATCGATGTGTTGGAGCGAACGAGAACGCGTTCCCAGGGGGTCGTCCTGTTCGCTCGATTCGTCTTTTCCACGCTGCATCAGGACGGTACCTCTCCCGTAAATGGTCCCCGCGGTGAGAAAAAAATATCCAGTTAAGGTAGTTTCCACGGCGCAGACATCGCTTCCGGGGTTGCAAATCACCTCTGTCAAGTGGCTGGACAAGGGAATCCCATGATCTACCGCCCGCTGACGGATGATCTTCGGAATCTGGCGGTTCGGTCCGGCGGCTGATACATCCCCGCGGGTGCGGTACTTGAGAAACGTGAAGTCGTCGACCTTGAGGAGGTGCACGTCGTTGGATTCTGCTTTCGACGTGGCTCGGAAGCAAATCCGAATGGGGTAGCCCACTTCTCCGAGGGTCTTGAGTGGTTCTGGTTCTGTGGAGTTTTTTTTTGAAGAAAACAGAGTCTCATCTAGTAGATTTGCCGCCGCGTCGAGGAGACTTTTGTCTTCGTCTTCTGGTGCTTCTGTTGTGTTGTAGATAGCGGTACTTATTTCTTGGTTGTCTTCGTCGCATCGAAAAGCTTCTACTTTCTTGTAGGAAAGATTGCGTCTGTAACTCTCCATACCGCGATCAGCCCCCGCAGCACTGCTGCGTGCCCTTTTCATATCCCACGACAATCCAGTGTTGAAGCAGAATGCAGAAAGGACAATAAACATTTCAACGAAGCAGACCATCTTGTACGGAACTCCAATCATCGTTTTTTATCTTCTGTAACTCTAGATTAGCTAGCGAGATTTGTTCGTTTTAATGATTGTCGTGAATTTCTTTTGTGTATTCGAATSGATGTGAAACAAGTTAGAAGCTGTACCGTATTCGTGGGGTGGCGTGGATGAAGGGATGAAATTATATTTAGTTTCTGTCGCAAAAGAATGAAATGAAACGAAWAGTGCAGCATTTATACAGACGACGATAGCGGCTTTCGAAAAAGAATACGGTACTGCRTTGGATCTATTCTTCGATTGGACTCGACGGYATTGTGCCGGTTTGATGCCTTCTTTCTGTCAAAACTCATTCACGGTTCCAAAATGTGTGACCAAGGATTGTAACAATTTTGGTCCTAATATTTATTGGCTTTGTGACGGAAAATCCCGACTGAATCAAGTGCCCGTGTTACAGGCATAATTAATGCTATAAATATTCGTAGATTTTGTCCATGACTGGCTTTAAGCGATGTTCACGAAGCGCAAGGCCCCTCGAATTTTTGTCGGTTCAAAAGCTAGCAACGTCTTGCGATGTGCCGCGTACCATAGCAATAAGTGTCCAATACCGAATTGAACATTGTTTCAGTCGGTCGGTCCTCGTGACCCACGGTCTGACAAAAAGTCAGACTTTCTTCGCCATATTGACGAGGCAACCCTTGCAAAAAATCCGGTAAAATCGCTGAAACACGAACAAGAATTATGCCGTTCTTGATCAACCTTTCCGTTCCGAGGAACAATAGTTGTTGTGAATATTACTATTAGTTCCACTAGTACTAGTACTAGTGCTATTGATAGCAGAAATGAAGCATTCTTGTTACTAGTAGAAGTACAAGAACGAGAAAGACCCAAGAATGAGGAATAATCAAGTACAGTATGAATAGGAGTAGCTAGTACTAGTACTASTAGTAGTAGTAGTACTAATTGTTCTTCTTGTGGCCTTCCGCTGGTGGTGTGTTTAGAATTTGGTACTAGTACTAGTAGTAGTAGTACTAGAAGAACTAGTAGTATGTCACATAGTAACAGCTGGTACTACTAGTAGGATTTGTAGTACTAGTAGTAGTAGTACTAATTGTTCTTCTTGTGGCCTTCCGCTGGTGGTGTGTTTAGAATTTGGTACTAGTACTAGTAGTAGTAGTACTAGAAGAACTAGTAGTATGTCACATAGTAACAGCTGGTACTACTAGTAGGATTTGTAGTACTAGTAGGAATTTCTTCTAGTGGTACTGAGACGTAGTAGGGGTAGTAGTAGTATGATTGACCCCCACCCCCATACTGTAGTTCTTCTTCTTGCTGATCATGCCATTCTTACCTTTTAGAGGAAGTACTAGTACCACCAGTCACAGTACTACTACCTCTRTCCAGATATAATTGTACGCTTTGCACCTAATAAGCTCAATACTTGGGCGATTGGAATGCTTATTTTTGCACTAAACAGATCTATTGTAGTAGTATACACTTGTGTTAATTGCAATGGATTTATAGTATTGATGCACTCTTTATAGCTATTCAAAGAGGCCCTGTTTTGGCATATAAATGTGATTTTACTGTCAGTTGGGTTCTATTAATCAGTTAAAGACTGGAACGGTTTATTTGAAAAGCCCAGACTAAGAGCTTTATCATGGTATTCTTATCATACTTATTGACAATGTTTCATGCAGTCTTTAGACGGTCACTACACAGGGCAAAAGACTGCTTGGGCCTATTYGGGCCTGTGCAGTTTTTTTTCAATTTTGAGCTGGAGAAGCGATGTGAAGAGAAAAAAATGTGCTGCGCGCATGGTGTAAAAATGCTCCCTGTGTTATTTTCACATGTTATTTTCACTTTTGATTTCAACGCACCTCCCAATTTTCTCTTTTCGTCTTCTTTCTATCACTTCTTTGTTCCATTCAACTGACTAAGACCGGCTTCTTTTCTCTGCACCTCAAGTGACTCATCGATGTTGAGCCAACACGCCTCCACTACGCCCCTCCACTACATGCCTCCACTACATGCCTCCACTACATGCCTCCACTACACCCCTCCACTACACCCCTCCACTACACCCCTCCACTACACCCCTCCACTACACCCCTCCACTACACCCCTCCACTACAGGCCTCCACTACGCCCCTCCACTACGTGCCTCAATTAAGAGGGGGGAAGACCAACTTGCGTCTCCCGTTGCTTCCACTAAGAAGGAATTGTGTCTCCATTGCTTTGGCGGCTTGTGTCTCCATTGCTTCCACTAAGAGGGAATTGCGCCTCCATTGCTTCCATGGCTCGCTTCTCTATTGCTTCCATTAAGAGGGAATTGCGCCTCTGTTGCTTCCACGACTTGTGTCTCTGTTGCTTCCACTAAGAGGCGCGGGGGGGGGAGCGTGTCACTGTTGAGCAAACGCATCTCTGTTGCCTACAMTAGTAACAGGGGATCCATCGACTTGCTGGCGCCTCCTGCCTCTGTTGCTTCCACTAAGAGGGGATCCATCAACTCGCGCCTCACTCGCATCTCCATTGCTTCCACTAAGAGGGGATCCATCAACTTGCTGGCGCCTCCTGCCTCTGTTGCTTCCATTCTGTTTCTTCCACTAAGAGGTGGGGGGGAGGAGCGCGCCTCTGTTTGCTTCCACTAAGGGAATGACAACAACAACAATCGACCTGCAAGGGGTCTCTTTGTTGCTTGTTGCTGTGCTGCTTTTTYCCCCCATGCTTTCATCCACTCACTTTATTGAATGCTGCTCTTTTCTAAAGCAAACGCACACCAAGATGGCTACAGGAATAGAAGCAATAGATCTTGCAATGGATCTCCTTGAACCAACTGAGCTGCTCCCTCCTCCTCCGGCTGTTACTCCTCCTCCAACGCAACGGAACCTTATCAACTTGACCAACAATCAACAACAAGCTGTTCTGCACCAACTGCTTCCGCATCACAAAGGGAATGGGAAACTTGCTAAGGGTGCGTTGAAGGCAGCAGCGGAGGCCTTCAAAGTTTCCCTTAGAACTTGTGCAAGAATTTGGAAGCACTATTTAGAAACTCAGGATGATGAAACATGTGCTGCAGGTGATGTGTCAAGCAACAGATCCAAGTAGTACTAATAATAGCACTACTAGTAGTACTAGCTACTATTACTACTTGYTGTCTAGTACTAGAACAAATAGTAAAAGACTAAATTATTTTCAGTCACCTCATGGCCTAGTAGTACTAGTAGTACTACTACCAATAGAACTAGAAGAGAGACTGGCAGGAAAGCTAGAACCATTGCTCATGGAAGAGCATCAGTACTTTTCCTACTACTACAACAAAGTACTTGTGTACTAGTATACTACTACTAGTAGTAATAGTAACACCAAAACTACTACTAATAGTAGTTTAGTACTAGAAGTACAAGTACTACTGGTAGTTCTTGGTGTTGTAGCAGGTRTTACCCCTCAAGTAAGAAGCTTCAACTGGCTAGTAATCTCCTCATTCTGCACCTCATCCTTATCAATCAGTACCAGTACTGGCACTTCTAGTAGGAAAATGATGAGGTTCTTCAATGAGGTTGGTGCATGTGAGATAAGCACCTGTGTCAATCTGTGCCTATATGGTTGAGGCAATATGTTTTCAGAGGYAGTGGTGTATTTGATATATCTTTTAGGAAGTTGACATTGATGACTTTGATTGTTGATTCTGGTGAAGGTTGATATGGAGGGTGAAAAGTTGTCATGTGGATATTTGGGTATACCAATGCTGCTTGACGTTTGGGATTTTGACAAGTCTTGGTGGATGTCACTGGATGGAATGAACAGCATGATATGCATTACATGTGAGGCATTAGTAAGCATATGGAGAACTGGGGTGATAGGAGATGGAGATAAGGGGGGGGCTTGGAGTTCCCGATTTGTCATCTGCCCTACATAAAATCTGTTWTATTTTCTCTGTTGTCAGATGACATGTCAACAGGAAATGTATYGCCAACAATCATTTGGGTTTCTTCTGTTTCTGTGTAAACAAGGTTGACTGTTTTATTTGCCTTTGCCTTTGCTACTAGTGCATTTTGTGCTTGTTTGTACATCTGGGAGAAGTTAATGAAGTTTTGACAGAGGAGGTCTGAGTGGCAAAGGAGTGGACAATTTTCAAAAGCATGCAATGAAGTTTGACCTGTCATCATTTTGCAGACAAGGCATGAATGGTTGAACAACAATGGGTCTGCTTTGATTTGGTGGTTGACAGACATCGAGTATGCAAAGCTTAAATTTTCTTCATCAATTTTATTGATTTGAATTTGGTTAACGGAGATAAGGCTTTGCAAGCAATATTCTCAGGACCCTTGTATGTAGGTAGATATGAATTGTATTTTCTGGTTGGTGTTTGCACAACAGGTGTTGTTTGATTTGGACTGTTTGGGAAATTCAAACTATTGCTGAAGAGTGGCAACAAAGTTGGAGGGTTCAAATTTGTGCTGAAGATGAGCAAAGTCCTGTTCACAAAGTATTTCTGTTTGAAGGAATGAGGAGATGTAATGAGTAGTGGGGATTTTAGGGCTTTGTATCCTTGGCTGTTTTAAAGTTCAATAATTTGGCAATATTTGTCAGTGGGGGAGAACAAGGTGTGGATGACATCCCAAATGATTCATGAGTCAGCGTTTATCTTGGTCTCAAATGTTGGGTTGAGATCATCATCTTGGTTCATGCCTAGTGTGAACTCTTGTGGGTGATTACATTTGGTGCAAAAATAGGGAGGATAAGGATGGCAATCTTTTCCAAATTGAGAGCAGTGAGCAGTGAAGCATGTGTGCCAGTTGTTGTAGTATACTAGTAGTATTTTGTATGCTGCTGTATAGTATGCTAAATTTTCCATCTGTCAGTCTATCACCAGATCTACTAGAACAATCTGCTAGTAGTACAATTAGGTGAAGGGGAATTGCAAAATATTGATACTAGTAGTAGTGCTAGTAGTAACAGTAATAATAGTAGCAATACTGGTACTAGTACTAGTACTACTACTACTACTAGCAGTTTCTATTGTATTATTTTCAAATTGATTGATTCGATTCATTCACGTTTTGTGGGGATTCCCCGAAGTGAGTCAAGCGAGTCGAACTCGAAACGTTTTCCTTCCACTCATCTCGAACCAGCAAACGCGAATTAGTTCTGTCAGAGGTTAGTTCTGTACCGCTCGTGTGCATCACGTACGTACCAAATCACATACGACTACCGTACGGTACGGTACCGGTTTGATTCGAGAATCATCGCAATCTACCGGTATGTCATCACTCATCACCCACCTCGATCGGCCCCGTGGAGTCAAATCGATGATGGATACGTACCGTACGTTTTATGGGTCCTGAGTAGAGAGAGCAGTGATACCATATCGAGAAACTAAACGATTCTAATCGATCGATTGAGTTATTGCACTTGTGTTCGGATTGCGCAGCACAATAGAAGTCCCGTCTGAGAGAAATAATTCAATCGGATCAATCTATCTTCTCGATTCTATCTTTTCACTTCCGCAACCCAGGCTAGCAACGCATCTCGATGAATACGAACACGTTTCTTCCCTTCACCACGAAGTATCAGTTCTCGCTCGTTGTAGCAATTTTCGTGGCGACGGCATTGCAGAAGCCGGCTCCCGCCATGTCTTTTTCGCTTGGCAGAAGCTTTGCCACGACGGTTGTGCGCCGGGCAGCGGGTTTTCAAGCCGCGGCCCGAAGCGCTCGCAYGCAGCGCGTTGCGGGTCTCCCGTGGAGGACGTCCGCCCTTGCATCACCAACGTCCCGATGGATGTCATCGGCTTCAGACACGGGGGAGAAGACCGAGAAGACCGAAGAAGAGAAGGCACAGATCAAGGCGGCCAGAGAAGCCCGAAAGGCAGAAAAAGAACGAAAAAAGGCCGAAAAGAAGGCGAAGAAGGAGGCGCAGCGTCTCGCAAAGGAAGCAGCCGAGCGTATCGATGATGTGAATTACCTTTCGGTCGAAGAGCAAGACTCATACGAGCCGTACGGAGACATGAGCCGGATCATGTCGAGAAGTCGCACAGGTCGAGAATTCGCCAAGGTGAAAGATTTGGACGGAGAAACCCATGCTCCTGGCGATACCATCTGGTTGCGGGGACGTTTGCATTCGATTCGAGTGAAGGGAGGCTCTTGTTTTTTGGTTTTGCGACAAGACTCCTTCCACACCGTCCAGGCAGTCTTTTTCAAAGACAAGGAGAATCCTGAACAATCCCAAAAAATGATCAAATACCTCAAATCGCTGACGGAGGAAAGTATCATCGACATCGAAGGAACACTTGAGTCGGCCGACGTGAAGTCTTGTTCTGTGCAGAGCATGGAGCTCAAGATTCAGCGCATTCATTCCGTCGCCAAGGCGCAGTCCATTTTGCCTTTCCTTGTCGAGGATGCGTCTCGCAGTGAGGCTGAAGTGGATGCTTCCCAAGAGACAGACCGTCCCTTTCCTCGACTCGGACAGGAATTGCGGCTCGACAACCGCTGGATGGATTTGCGAGCACCAGCAAACAATGCGATCATGAGAATCCAATCGATGGTCTGTCAACTTTTCAGAGAATCCCTCTATTCGCAAGGTTTTGTTGAGATCCATACACCGAAATTGATTGCGGGAGAAAGTGAGAGTGGGGCCGGTGTATTTACGACGGATTACTTCGGAGAGACAGCCTGTTTGGCGCAATCGCCCCAACTGTTCAAGCAAATGGCCATCTCGTCGGATCTGACAAGAGTGTTCGAAATTGGTCCTGTCTTCCGTGCCGAAAATTCGCACACCCGCCGCCATTTGTGTGAATTCACGGGGCTCGATCTCGAAATGGCGATCAACGATCACTACATGGAGACGTTGGAGGTCATTCACGAAATGTTCAAGCACATCTTCAATGGATTAGAATCGAGATTGGCCAACGAATTGGCTATCATTCGCGAGCAGTACGCGTCAGAGCCTGTCACTTTTACGGATGAACCGTGCGTCTTGCATTGGCCAGAGGCCATGGAAATTTTGACAGAAAAGGGGTTTGACATTGGTGATGGATATGGTGACCTCACGGGAGCAATGGAACTCGCTCTCGGTGAAGCTGTCAAGGAGAAGTATGGCACTGACTTCTTCATGCTCGACAAATACCCGATGGAAATCCGTCCCTTTTATACTATGCCGGATGCCGAGGACCCAAAGTTTTCAAACTCCTACGATATCTTTATTCGCGGCCAAGAAATTTGCTCGGGTGCCCAGCGTTGTCACGATCCCGAACTATTGACAGAAATATTGGAACAAAAGGGCATTGAACCCGGCGAGGCACTGGATGCTTATCAAAAGTCGTTCAAGGACGGCATCTTTCCTCACGCTGGTGCTGGGATTGGATTGGAGAGAGTTGTCTTCTTGTACCTAGGGCTTGACAACGTACGAAAAGCTTCTATGTTCCCTCGCGACCCGAATCGTTGTGCACCGTAGGGAACGAATGCGCATTCGTTCATCATCGGAAACTTTTTTGTTTATCATTTATCTAGTTACGTAGTATTATTTGCTGCTTTTCTTTTTCTTTTCCTTCTTCTCCTTCTTATCTTTTTTCTTGGAGTCTTTCGACTTACGTTTGACTTCATCACCACCCATTATATTTAGTTCTGCCAACCGTTCGAGCACAGGACCAAGATCTTCAAACCTTTCTTTCGCTAGGACAAATCCTTGACGTTTCAGTTCTTTGTTTGTAAGCGGTTCAGAATCAATTCCTGAGAGCAGTTCGGAAGCCTGCGCATTCCAATATTCCGATGTTCGAGAGTAGAAGTCGGCTAAGCTTTCGCCTGTTTCTGGCGTTCGGTTCTGATCGCCCAAATCGTATTTCTCGTTCAGTTCAGAAACTTCTTGACGAAGACCGGCCCGTCTCAATTTTCGCTCCTCGCCATCGATGTCGCTCATGTCATCAACTTCATCGTCACTTCCATCTTCGATGCCTGTGCTGATGTAGCTCTCGTCGTCATCGTGCACAGCACCACGCCAAACCTGCTTGTACATTGTTCCTTGCCATAGACATTCCCATTTATCTCTCTTTCGAAGATCCATGGCCCACATATCATCTAGCGTCACTTCACGATCTCCAACCTCCAAAATTCCTCCTAACAAATACATCGTGTTACCTTGAACTACAGTGGCGGCATTGATTCGGGGTAAAGGTTCTTCTCTCTGAACAGCCTCGGGAGCATTATTTGTTTCGTTCATGACCATTACAGAAGAAGACGTGATCTTTTTGGAGTTCCCTGATACTTTCTTTGAATTTTGCGCTTTTGGGCTCTCGGTGTAATCCTTTTCCTTTTCCTCCTCTTTCGATTCTTCCGCTTCCGCTTCTTCCTCTTTTTCTTCTTCCTTCTCCTCCTTGGTTTCTTCGTTTTCCCCGTCGCTACTCTGTTCTTTTTTCTCCCCCTCTTCGTCGTCAATTTTCTCATAGATGATGTTCCCATCGCCGTCAACGAAGGCAAACATATTCGATCGAAGCTGGTTTATGTCCCATCCAAGATGGCTTGGATCCACGTTATCCTCACCTTCGACAATATCTTCTTCCAGATCTGAGTCACTGCTACTATCATTTTCCTCAACATCGGGCTTTGATTCTTTCTCTTCATTTTGGTCCTCGTCGCCTTCGTTTCCTTTTCGACGCCGTCGACCTCTTTTCCCTCCATTCTTATTGATGCGCAATGGAAACCACTTTCGACGTTCAATATCCATGGCCATCAAGTCATTGTAAAAGATGCTATCTACTTTGTGGTTGTGCTCTTCATGATCCACGACGCCTCCGAACACGAGCATGCGGTTCTTGTACGAAAGGGACGACATTCCAGCTCGTCCATTTGGGCTATTAGCAGCTATTKTTTTGGTGCTAGACATCCATCTTTCCCAAGTAGGGGKTTTTTGTTGAAGGATCGGCGACAAGTGCAAAATCCATGCATCGGTGTGTGTTTTAGCTTCGACGCCAGCATTGGATGCCTTCACTTTTGAGAATCCACCATGAACGACTATTTTGTCGGTTCCATAGAAAGCCATATTGCAAGCACTGCGAGGTTCTGGCTTAATCGCCAAACGCGATTGCGGGACATCCATCCATGTTTCTGTCTGCAAATTGAATATGTGAACGTCGTTGTACCACTTGGTCTCGCGCAATGCTTCAAAAAATCCGCCAAAAAGTATCATATAATTCTTCCACACCAAGCATCCCATACCTGATCGAGCCGACGGTGGATTTCTTGCCTTGATCTCACTCCATGTTAGCGTGCGAAGATCAAATTTCCAAAGATCTCGATAATGATGGTATTGGTCAGCAGTAGCTAGTTCTCCTCCAAAGACGTACAAGGAAGATTTGTACGAGACACATGAATGAGCGCACCGGGGACTTGGTCGAGGCAACGGTGTCAAAATCTGCCTCCACTCTTTCTTTTGAGTGTCAAATCTCAGTAATTCGTCCAGAACGATATTTTCAATACCATCGAAATATTCTCCACCGAATAAATACAAGTGATCTTTTCCCTTACTCTTGTCGTCGGTTCCATATTCAAGAGTGGCGTTTGCTCGGGGAAGGGGGAATTCTGCTTCTAAACTTTCTAAAGTCGGTTTGTCAATGCCAGAAATCTTACTGTCGTGACTTCTGTAGCTTTGAATGACTTTGTCGATAGGTTCGGATGCCGATTCATCGACATCATCAGATTTGTCTCCAGATAATTTCTTCTGTTGTTTTGCGAGTCGTTTTCGCTGCCCCTTSTCTTGCTTCGCTTCCTTCCTGGCTTGGAGGGCAGCTTTTTTCAATGCGTCCTGCTTCTTCTTCTTCGCCATGCTAGTTGGTAGTGTCGAAAGAGCGTTTTCAGAAGCATAGCACACTTCGCATCTTGTTGCGTCTCCGAACTGTTGCTTTGAAGTCGATGTTTTCAAGAGTTTCGGAACGACAGAAATCTTCGATTTCTTGGATGAAGGCAGAAAAAATTACTGGTAAAAGCTTGATTCCACGTGGAAGTGGAAAAGATATTGATGAAAAGTCTGAGTTACAACTAGTAGTACTAGTTGTACTACTAGTACGGTAGTACTACTACTACTAGTACGAGTAAGGAATGTTGTAGTAGTAAATATTGAATCATAATATTCTTCAACACAATTACTGATACAACAAAGGAGTCTATGTAAGACATCATAGTAGTAGCAGTGGTATCATCATGGAATCAAAAACCAGAGGATCTGTTGCTGCCTCAACTCATCTGTCTAGTACTACTACTAGTAGTAGTAGCACTAGTAGTACTTTCTCCATCTGATAATAGTTTTACCCTACAAACCTACTTTTGTTCTATTGAAATAAGCTCAATACCAAGGTAATTTGAATGCTTCTTCTTGTACTAGTAATTGTTACTAGATCAATAATAGTAGTATTATCATAGTATACTAGCGTTGGCCAGCAAATGTACGATACAACCACCACCCAGCTTCTTCTTCCTCATGGTGAGTTCTTTGCACCTTGAGTGACTCAGTGGTCCTTACCTCTACTAATGATTTGGAAGCCTTTGAGAAGTGCAAGTGTGAGACTTTGAATAATGTGTGCTTATTGTTTCAGGCTTGTATGGAAGCATCCCTTGTTGATGGCAACAACAACTACAAGTTGCCTCATATGGGGGAAGCAAGTCTAATGTGTGAAGATATTCTCCCAGTTTCAATTATTTGCAACCCTATGGTTGTGCTACCATAAGAACTCCTCAGAGGGAAGTACCGCCCCTCGGAGCAACTAGGAGCATACTTCGCATCCAAAGCTATGGTTCTGGCCACATTACCTCTTCTAGTTCATGAGGTTAAATATAATATTGAAATTTTTTCAATTATTTGCAATCCTAGTCACATTGTTGTTGCTAAGCATGAGCTACTTGCTCCTTGAGCTGCAGTGGAAGGACACCAATCCAACACAGCTGAAAGAGGAGGAGTACAGGAGACATAATATGTGGTTCTTCCAGTAGCAAGGTTAACAATAGTGAAAAGATATTTCTGGTAGTAGTTATTGTACACAATTCAACACAATCATAGTGAGTCATAGTAGTAGTAATAAGGGACTCTCTTTAGTGTGACAGCAAAATTAGTAGTTGCTACTAATACTAGCTTGTACTAGTAGTAGTACTAGTATTACAGAGTACTACTAGTTAAAGTGCTAGTAAGAAGAAAAAATATTATTACTACTAGTACTAGTACTGTACAAAAATATTGTACTAGTAATGATGCTACCAGTACTAGTACTACTACCTATATAGTACTAGTACTACTAGTAGTACTGTGGCACTGGTGGACGAAAAGCACACGGAAAAAGATCACAATTTTCTTACACATAGAATGAGGAAACCTGTAGATATTGTCCAGTACTTTGTCTCCTGTGTCAGGAATCTCACAGAATTTCCAATTCCTGTTATCTGTAACCAACAGTTGGTGGTTAGTAGTATTACTAACAAACTTATCATTTTGAGAAAGAGAATCTCTAGTATTAGTTGCTTTCTTTTGTCATATCATGTTGCTGCTGCAGTGCAGACATATCCACCAGTTTTGTCCACTTTCTCTCCTTTCTTGCTGGTGGAAATATCATCTTCATGAGTCGCTGTCAGAAACTCCTGTAGTAGTATCATATGAAAATATTCATGCCATCCAGGAGAATTATCAACATTTTCCTTGCCAGTTGGTTTTCTCATTCACACCTTTGGGTTTACCCTTTTGAAACAACTTCAACATCTAGGATAGCCCCCCTCTTTGTAAAGAAAACATCTCTTTGTGTAATAAAATAGTCCAACAAAACAAAGCTACTAGTGTATCTGGACTGCATGACCACCATGTTAATCTCCTCTGCTGATATTTCAGCTTCATAAACAAGGACCCAAAAATGTATAAAATTGTTTCAGATTCATAAAACTGAAATTGAGCAAGGTGACCTTTTGTAGTATAGTTTGGTGATTGTCACCACCTCTTTTTGGTCATTCTCTTTCCTTTGGGACCTGATATTCTTGAATTATGTCATTCATCAAGGCAAACTACACTCATGTTTGAAGAAGTACATCAGTCTCTCTGTTTTCTGTACAAATGTGCCATCAATATGCAAGATATCAAATCTATTTGCAATAAGACCACCATACAAGTACTATGGCATTAAGAATATCAATCCACAAATATTGCAATATACGAGAAAGAAAAACTTATGCTTTGTGAAGATATCATATCGAATCAGAGAGTCAAACTAGGAACGACTTGTCTATGAAAAAGAATGGGAAGAACGGAATCATTATAGACCAGCTGATACTAAGTTCTGTGTAAAGCGCTACTGTTGGTCATCACAAATCCTTCAATCATATCCTTGATGTTTCATAAAGAACGGTTTCATCTTTGGAAGAAACATTTAGAAACTGGTTTTCTAAAGAACATATTCCTTAGCCAGTTTCACTCATCATTTTTTGCCGTCCTTTGACCTCGTATTTTCCGAACTTTTTCCATCGTTCTGCTTTCACCACTTTTTCGATTGGTTCTCGAACCCTGTGCCAAATATTGAAATCCTTTTCTTGCACAGGCTCTCCAGAACCGCCTTGACCATCAGCATTTCCATCAATGCCCACTTCACCACAAGTGTGAATAGTGCCATTTAAACCAACAATGACGCTGTGGACGTAGCCACATTCAACATCGACGGCTTTCATAGGGGTCCCATCAGAAACTAAATTTACTTTTGTTGGGAGAGTGACACGTGCCGGAGTAGTTCCGAGGCCTAAACGCCCACCATCTGTCTTTCCCCATGCATATACATCTCCCGTCGCACTCACGGCCATACTCATATCTACACCTGCACTCATCTGAACTATATGTACCTCTTTGTCATCAAAATCCTGTATCCTCATTGGAAACATGTGAGACTGATTATCGCCGTGACCTAAACATCCTGTCATGCCCGCACCACACGAATATAAACAGCCATGATTATCCAATAAAAGGGAATGTCGATGCCCGGCGCTGGCTCCAACAATATGGACACCGGCTAGCGAATCAATCAACTTTGGGATACATTGATCACTTGAGTCTTGAAGCTTGATATTTGAAATCAAGTCCAAATGCGCCACCAAATCAAAATCATCCGTGTTTCTTTCTTGTTGATTTCCATTAGGGTTTACTGCGCCGGGTTGCTGTTGCTGCTGCTGTTGATTGGGGACAAAATTGAAGTTTTCATCTTCATCGCCAGCATCCATGCCATCCAAGGCTCCTACTGGTTCGTAATCATATGGTGTGTAACTGCGACCTAGAACTCCGAAGTGTCCCAAACCGAATGAAAATACTTCACCATCATCCGTAACAACCAAACTGTGACGTGCTCCGAGGGAGACATTAGCAACGCACTYATCTTCTAGTCCACCTTTAGTGACCTGTAGTGGCGACACACATGGTCCTTTATCACCATGACCAAGTTGACCACAAAACCCGTCACCCCAAGTGTACAAGTCGCCATCCACGGTAACAGCAGCACTATGCAATTCACCTGCGGCAACACAGACACAGCGCACACCAGAAAGGGCATCAATATASTGTGGGCGAAGRATATCTGGCAGTTGCTTTCCACCGCTGTAACCATGTCCAAGTGCACCGTATTGACCAGTTCCAAAGGAAAGAACTCGACCTGTGCTCGTCAACAACAGAGAATGGGCGACTCGCACCAGACCCCCGCCCGCTGCAATTTGGACAATCCGGATCCTGTAACCTATACCTCCCACAATCATTTTTAGTCTTCGTTCATCAGTTCGACTACCGTGTCCAAGTTGACCGCGCTTTCCCACACCGGAACTGGCAACGCCTGACCCACCTCCTCCCGAGTTTGCGCCACCACCGACTCGGCACAAGGTATGTTCCGGCGATGTCGAAACAAATCGCCCGTTAACAAAAGAAGGCAACATAATTGGCGTCTTCCCACCAACATTCAGATTGCTGTGACCGGTTACTATCTCTTGAAGAAATCGGGCATAGCTTGCAAATTCACTCTTCCACTTGTTTGCCTTGCCCTTCATTTTCAACCGCTGTGTATCACCTCCACCGTAAGATTGTTCGACAATCTTTTGGGCTTCATCTATATCTCGACAAAGGTCAACATTAAAGGACCCTGCAGCCGATTTTTGGGTCAGCCGAGATAAAACGTAAAAGGCTCTTGTCTCCTCTGTCACCAACAACTTGTTCATTTGTCGACAAGTTAGCGTTAAGGCACCCAACTCCCGAGCTGGCAAAAACGAAAAAAAATGGTTCAAAGCGTCGTTCGACAGAGAGAAAATGTAGCATTTTTCGGCGTTGATGCGTGTCGCTTCATTATCGGGAGTCTTCGCATCATAAGGAGATTCATCTGGACAACTCGCAGCTAGCGCGGCCTTTTCCTTTTCCTTCTTTTCCTTAGCCAATTTTTTCGCCTCACGTTTCTCAGCCAATCGTTGCTTTTTTTCTAATTTTTCGGCAAGCGTCAACTTTGGCATTTTTCTTGTATTATTTGGTGCACCTATGTGCTAGTCACGGTCAATCAAACTAATTTATTGAGGATCTGACGATGAATGCTTCTCCAGTCTAGGTTATGCGTACTGTTTCTTCTCACTTCAAGGAAGGGCTCGACGAAGGGTTCAACACGTAATCGTACTGTAAACGTCAAAAGTATTCTGGAGTGGAAATAAAAAAACTGGATGGATACAGTTCGTAGTGGCGAAAAGAGAAATTGAGGAATGACGATTGAGGAAAAGTCTGATGTTGCCGTTCTGAATTCGGGAATGAATCGAATCCTTATTGTTTAGAGGATTTTCGTCATATGCGGTCAGTTTTTCAGTTAAAATTAAAAAATAACGTTTTAGTGGACAAATTCCAGTAAATCAAGTACGTACAGTACAGTAGCAAAAAAAGAGGCGAAATTTCTGAAATGTTACATTTTTTCAGAAATTCGAAATTCCAATTTCTTTTGGAGGAACGCGCACTATCCATTATGAAMGCACCTCTAACCTCTAAACCACTTAGCAAAGGCAGTTGTAGATAGGTAGGCAAGAGTATTTTTTTTAGCACAAACTCTGCACCAGTACCATCGTCACCGAATCCTATCCATGAAGATCAAAATTGACATGTGAAAAGATGAAAATGAAAGAATTACCTCCTCTCTGTTTCTCAATAGGCGTCGTATCAACCATGTATTACACATACGTTGTTGTCATCAAAAAGATCTTGTTCCGTCCGCACTCTGTTTACCAAAATTCGATGATTGTCTTGAAAGACATCCGCTTTAGTAGAAAGGGACATAGTACTGTGCATGACACATGATCTCATAAGTTTTGAAAAAACGAGAATGGCCAAAGAATAAATCTTGGCATTTCAATCATCTCTCACAGTGGGCGGGTTCCATCTTGTCGAGATAAAGCAACATTTCTTCCTTCACAAAGGAGGCAGGAGTTCTTTCGGTATTCGATTGTTCCCACGACGTGAAGTCGCCAGAATCTTTTTCGCCTGTTGGTTCCGACGAGGAATGGAGCTGTTGGCAATTGTTTTCAAGAAATACTGATACTCCCTGTACTTAGAAGGGAGACGGGTGGTTCCTTTTCTGACACTTTCCAGTAATTCTTCTAGAACTATGCTTTCACGACATACATCGTCCTTTCTCTCAGTGTTGTTACCCATTGTCATGGCACGGATGAGGTGACTGTAGGCCTCAACCGTCGTTGGCAATCCAACATCTTTCATCAGAGAAAAGTAATGTTGACATTTTCCTACAGAATTAGGATACCGATTTCCTTCGGAGCAGGCCCTTAGTATATTGTGGAAGATGTGAATATCTGGCCTGGCGAGTTCATTGCCGTTCTTCCATTCTCTCATCATCTCCTTGAATACAAACTCCGCCTTTTCAAAGTTTCTTCCGCGAGCCCAGGAATCAATCAATATGCCAAAGACATACTTGTCGGGACGAAGATGATGTTCGCCATTAGTAGCGTATCGATTCTGCAGTTGGTCAAAAACACGTTGAATTGAATCCAGAGATTCCTTACGCCCGCTCCTTTGCCATGCCAGCATGAGATTTGTGTATCCAGCTAGGCTTGTTTGCATTTCGTGATTTCCGAGGTCGACCTGTCGCTCCATATCCCCCAACAATTTTTCGATGCACTCGGGTGCGAAACGGTGTCTCGAGCGCGACCAAGCGAGTATCACCAATTCAAAGGATTTCGCATCCGGCTGGAGACTACGATACGACTCGTCTTCGCGCGCTAGTTCCCTCATGCGATCCAGCACACTTTGGGCCCGTTTTGCAGCCAGAACCCGATCCTTGATCTTGGTCCAAGCTACCATAGTGTCGACGAAGTAACTTCGACGCGGCATCAGCTTCTCGTTGTTGCTCGAAAGGGCACGTTTGATGAGCTCGTCCAGCATTCCCTGTGCCTCTGCAACTCCGCCTGTTTTGGCCTTCGCTATGATGCATGCTTTCCAGCATTCATCCGTTGGTCGGAAGATTGGGTCGCCCGTCTTGCTATACAGATCCTGAAGCTGTTCCAGCAATGATTCTGCCTGTTCGTCGTTGCCGCTATGAGCCAACGCTAAGATGACGCGCGCAAAGTTGGACGCATTCGGAGAAACAAGGTAATTTCCGGCTTCGTACAGAGCAATCATTTCTTGCAATACGTAATAAGCCTTCTGTGCTCCGTTTCCCGATTTCGAGTTCGCCCAGGCATTGAGCAAGTACTGATAAGATACCCGATCCGGTACGACCTGGACCAGACTCGAGTTTTTCATTTCGTCTAATAGTTCCTCGATCCGCGCGGTGGATTCTGGATGGCGCCGGTTTTTGGACCAGGCTTCCATGGTTGCTGAATAGCTAAAGGCATTGGGGGCCGATTCTATCCATCCGCTCTTTGCATACAAGTCGTGCATCATCTCTAGGAGCCCGTCCGCCATCTCTGGTGCCTCGACCCTACCGCTCTTGGCCCAGGCGCGGATCACGTTTGTGAAAAAGATGGTATCCGGTCGCAACGTGGCATCGTCHTCGTCTTCGTACGCCTGGCCCAACCGTCTGTCCAGCAACCACTGTGCAAGCAATGGTGCCTCGTAGGCATCTCCCCGGAGGCAAATGCCATCGATGATCATGGTGAAAGTTCGATTGTCGATATCTAGGTCTTTGTTTTCGACCCATTCCATAATTTCGTGAGGCGTAAAATCAAGTCGTTCGTCCCTCCAACCAATACGCCAGCAATCCACCACTCGGTTGATCAAAAATGGCCGCACGACGTAGCAATCATCCCTGCAGTTGGTCGGATTGTTGCCGTCGTACTGGTGTGCARGAACATTTTTGTCGTCACCTCTGTCATTGGCGTTCGCGGAATCGCTTCGCAACAGGACTTGTCCACTCATTCCATGCGGCGTATCTGTGTTTGTGTTCGCTCTGTCGTCGAAGTGTTCTTCGTGAAACCTTTGTTCCTGCGCCAGCCGCAAGAGAAGAAACTTTGCGTTCTCGAAACAATTTTTGTATTCCTTCCTGTGCTTGTCATCATTACTACGATTGATGTGCTTTTGCTTTCGTTTGCGTCGCCGTGGAAGAGACGCAGAAGCGGATACCCAGTATTCCAGAGCGTCTTCGGCCTCCGTGATTTGCTCCGGTGTCATCGACCCAGGGGGAACGGCTCTTGCGTCTTTCAGCAGCAACAAAATGCTTTCTATTTTGTTCTTGCTGTCGTTATCATCGTGGTCGAGACCTCGATCGAATGTGGAAAATACCCGGCCCGGAGAGAACACTGCAGCCTTGGCCAAGGCGGCGATTCGTTTTCTGTACATAGAATCATCCGCGATGATTAGAGAGCGAACTCCAAGACATGCTTCGTTAAATTCTCTTTCCAGTATCCATCGCTCCGAGGCGTTACAGCAACAGCGTTTAGTTTTGTACCCGTGCTGCCATTGATGGTGTTGCTGTTGATCTCTGACTTCTGTCCAGTTCGTGAAAGTTGTCATCGTCCAAATACTCCATCTTCGTCCTTTGCGTCGACTTAAGTTTGCCGCTCGAACAAAGCAATGCATCGTTTTGGTTTGCAGCTTTTGATTGTTCACACAACTACTTGTAAAAAACTTTCAGGCCATGTTGTATTCTATAGGTACGGCACGGCGGGATGGTATGTTRGGACAAGCATGAGTCCCCGTATTCGGTATCGCATCGTCCTGCGAAGAGTGAAGCTCTTCGGATGGAAGAATAGAGATGCGATTGTTAGCGATGGCACGACAAGAGTGCGATCCACCAGGGCTCACCATGCCGATCGGGSYGACACTCAGTCTGTCCGTCGCCTTTCGAATTTTGCCGGYATAATTTGGCGCGCCTTCTTTTTTGGATTTTCAAACGTGAGTACGAGCAGGAGTACGTACGTACGTAAAGTGCATACAGGTGCGTGCGTGCGGTACGAGTCCTAAAAATAGTGAGTCCTAGCTAGCGTACGTAGTACGTACCGTGCGATACTACAGTACGGTACGCTCATACCTAATCGTATGTACGACTAGCGTCCAGCTCAAAATCTTCTTCGCAAGGTCGGCTTTTTAGGGAAGACGAATGCTCTTGGTTTCGATTCGATTTCAAAAACTTGACGGCGACAACTTCTTGCCAATACCAGCACAACCTCTGGCAACTCGGAGAGTCTTCGAAGACAAGCAAGCATAGCGATGCCAACCTTCCGTTCTATTCCGATACATCCTTCGGTGAGATCTCGTCTCCTCCATACGCAACAGCAGCAACAACACTCCAACGACCACAGCAAAGGCGCGCAAGATCCAAACGAACCTCGGCAGCAGCAGCAAGAAAGCCAGCATCCACAGCATCCACAGCAGCAGCAGCAGCAACAACAACAACAACAACAACAACAACAACAACCACAACAACATCAGCCCATCAAGAGCAGCGTGGCAATACCGCGATCCTTGTTGACACGCGATCCATACGATTTGGTAGACCTGTTTTCGAACAACAACGGTGATGGCGCGACAAACGAACAGAAAATCGCCGGCATCCGGACGCTTCGAAATCAGGTCGCCCTCGCCATGGTGTCACAAACACGAAACGGGAAGCGCCTCCKTCGCCAAAACCCACCGCCACAGTGCGAGGACAACCACCCCCCGCAACATAAAAAACGCAACCGGCAGCAGKACGAGGAACAGAGCCAGCACGCTCCATTGATCCCGGGGGCATCCATGAGTCTAATGCAGGCCTTGAACCTACAACGAGAGCGGACGAAGCCAAGCAACAATCTTCCGAGGCAACAAGACCAGCGGGGTCTCGAGCTTTTTTCGACGGGATGCCGCGCCCTAGATAGTCTGGTTGCCTTTCCCGCCGAATACTTCTTCTTCTCGTCGTCGTCGTCGTCGTCGTCGTCGTTCGATAACAATAGCGATCCAGAGAATGTTAGGGCGATTCATTGCAACACAATAGACACGGATTCTGGAGAAGCCAGGGGAATTCCCAGGGGTTACGTGTTGCAATTGTCGGGAACTACGGGCAAGACCCAACTCGCCCTCCAATTTGCGGCGCAAGCCATCACACAGCTGTCCCAGCAATCACCGGGAAGCAACGAAAGAATTCGTTACTGCTATAGCACGGCGGGACACTCGGGGTCGTCCCTCGCAAAGCGCCTATTCSAGCTCCTCGAACAAACMAGCAACAGTGACCACGGAACGCGCATGGATGCCGCGAGGAAGATYGACTTCCAGCCGGTTTCTACGCTGTCACAGCTCACAACGACTCTTGCGAAACTCGAAGAGGAATGGCTGGAACACACGACAGCACCTGAACATCAGCAGCAACAAAGAACGCAAGAGGGYCACGGCGGGGGAAAGGGYCCGGTGGCCATGCTCGTTTTTGACTCCTTGCCATCGATGATGACAGAGAGGGAGGAGACGGAACGAATACGATCGCTCGATCGATGGCTCAGGAGAATTGCCAGGCACTATTCCATATGGATCGTGGTGGTGACCCCTGGTGGTGGATCGTCGCTTSCGTCGGCGTCGGTCTACGGAAACGCAATGTCGGCCGATATACACCTCGGGCTCCGGAAACAAACCCCCGCGAGGTCCATCCTTCGTTTGCTCCGGCATCCAGCAAAAGCCGTGACCGAACAAGATTCCATCACCGTTCTGCACAATTCCAAGTGTGGAATAACCACCCCCGAGGAATGAGCCGTGTCATCGTCGCATCTCTGTGCGAGYTATGTTCACCATGWTATTTCAGAATGAAATTTCAACGGATAGTGATCCTGTAGTTCGACAAAAGCCAGCCAGGAATTATTCGATTGGAGAGAAAACGTACTGAAGTGCAATGGAAGCTCCATTGACTGCGAAACTTGTTTGGACGACTGCCATGCCTCCTCTTGAAAATATTTTTATTACTGCACACACTGCAAGAAGAATAGCTCAAAGAAATTTGTTTTGGAATTGTTATTGTTTTCCGCTGCCATCATCAAGGCCATCCATTTTTGGTCTCACAAATTTTGATGGATGGAAAGTAGTTTTTGAGAATGTCCACTGGTTTTGATCAAGCCAAAGAAATTTGTGATTTTGTGGAACTTTGTCCACAATAAACACCTTACTAGTATTGTTTGATTCTTGCAAAAACACAGATACATGTAAATATCTCTGTTGTTCCAACATCAAAATCATTGATTTATTCCTCATTACTAGTAGTAGTAGTAGTAGTACTACTACTACTACTACTACTACTACAAGTAATAGTAATGGTTCATTCCTGGTTAATCTAGATTGACTAAATGTCTAGATCGGCTACTGTAGTTGATCTAGACCAACAGAAAAGGGACAGACTGATGGCATAGAATCAGATTTTTTAGCATCTTGGAATTTTACTAAAGAGTTCAATGTTATGACTAAGATCCAAAAGAGTTGCCCACGCCTCTACTGGCTGGTACAAGGAAAAACAGGAATTTTTTTAACCATATTTGATGCTACTAGCAGTAGTGGTGCAAAGCTCAATATTAGACCATGGTTTCCTCCTAGCAAATCAAACTGCAACGCCATGGGTCTCATTAAAACTTTTATGATGTACTGGACCCTTCAGCAGGAGGCTAAACAGAATGTCTTGGAAGAAAAAAAGAATCAGAAGAGGCTTTCCTCTCAGGAGGGCCTAGTATGCTCAGGATGCAACCAGGCCTTGCTGGACTTTTGTGGTGTAGACCACAGGATCTTCAAAGAGCTCTTTGAGCTATTTGCTTCAGCTTTCAATAGCTACAGAGTCGCTGTGACTTTTGTGGTGTAGACCACAGGATCTTCAAAGAGCTCTTNACAGAGTCGCTGTGACTTTTGTGGTGTAGACCACAGGATCTTCAAAGAGCTCTTCGAGCTATTTGCTTCAGCTTTCAATAGCTACAGAGTCGCTGACAGGAATGATACCATATAAGTTCCCATCTTTCCCAGTGGAAAGAAGAAGGGGAAGCCTAGAAACGCATGGAATGGTGGTTCTTTACTGGTATAGAACTAGAGGGTATGTTGCAATGGCAATGGCAATGGCATTCTGCTTGACATCCACAGTAGTAATATAGTACAAATGAATCAAGTTCTCCAGAAACTTGGATGGTATTGATGAGTTGCATTGTGTCCCTTGCGTTACATATCAATCACTCACATTTCACACATAGAAGACAACACTCCCAACTTCTTGAAGTCCCATGGTTGCCATGGTTGTGCCCAATGGTTGATTTAGTAGTTTAAATAATTCTCAAGAGTGGTGTTTAGTACTTTCAATGATAGCAAAACAGCATGTTGTGAGCATGCTGGTGGGTTGTTTGAATTATTCCACATTATGAGTTTTCATGTATACCATTGCTGGGAAGGGGTTTGCACATGGCCACTCCTTCGAAGGGGGAGTTTGCTGTGTCCTCTCATTCTGGGCTGGCTGTCATTGATTGGCACCCACCACATGGCGCCCAGCATGCCATTATCTTCTTTGTTGCAGTATGTTGTGKTGACAAATCTTGCGTTTGAACAACATGTCTTATGAGGGGCACAATGAATTTAAGTCCAAGGTACTAGGGTATAAACAAAAACCAATAGTACAAAATATTTTTAAGGTAGTGTATGAGCTCCACTACTACTAATATCTCATATATTGAAATAGTATCACTATTGTGAACAACACTTTGTTGCAGCTAGCTAAACTAATTGATCTCATTATCACCACGGGATTTCTCTAATTCAGTAAAGCAGCCCTTCTTCCTGCTGGCAGGCTTGTTGGTGCTGTGCTTTCAGTGATAGCAACACCCAGACAGGCAATTGTTGTTGCTGTGATACTATGGGCAAACATGTTTGTCAGTGTTGTTAGTAAAAAAGATAAGGAKTTCCCAGTACATTTCTCTAGTTGTTTGGTCTCTTCTGTATTCTCTTTYCCCCCCTTGCCTCCTCTCTCCTCTGCTCAGCTACTAACTCCTTCCTTTCCTGCTCTTCTTTGTTCTTCTGTAGCTCAAGAATCCTTGCATCCTTGTTGTTGTTCATCTGGATCTCAAGAAATGCCTTGAATATGGCATCCATGTTGGCCATSGTCTGGTGAGCTGYATCTGATCCTCTGGAGCTTTACAATTTTTTCTTTTTGGTACTTGGTGTTTGACAATAACATTTCAGTTGGGGTWATTGTTGKCTCTGTCAATGTTGCTGGAGCATCAGTTCTTGTTGCCAGCAGTGCTTCAGTTGTTGCTGTTGGGAGCTCCAAAACCTCCTCCACAGCCTCACTTTCAGTGAAGSCTTTGGCCACATAAAAGTCCTCTTCTCCATCACCATGGTTAGTAGRCTTTTCATCAATCAAGTGATGCTGGTCCTGTCTTGCAAGCTTCACATACCTCTTCATGCCAGGATCCCCAGTTGAGCTTTTCATCTTCTTGATCCTGTTGAACTTGTTCCTGGTGATGGAACTCTTGCTTCTTCCAAAGGGCCACACCTTTGTGTGCTCACTGACTACAGTCTCCCAGTGGTCTGTACAGATTGGCACTGTGCTACAAATCAACTGGAAAAGGGACTCCAGCTTGTTGGTGTAGGAGTGGTTACTAGTACTAGCTTTCCCAGCCTTGCAGCCATCCTTCTTCTTGGCTTCTCCTTCTAGTACTGATGGTGGTGCCAAGGACCACATTGGATCCATCTTAGTACTACTACTACTAATGTGTATACTGGCATGAGGAATTGGCGTAGTAGCTGGTGGGGGATGTGCTAATATTCCCTCTTCCTCTTGATCTCTTTGTATATACAAAGAGAAGAGATAAATTTTAGTGACTAAGAGCAATGTTCTGGACATTCTTGTTGTGTGYGTGGTGCCATTCTTACTAGTTGATGGGCTCATTGCTTCTTGTTGTTGTATTTCTTGTTTTGCCTACTAGTACTAGGCTGTCCAAGTCTTAAATTTGGCAGGCCTTGTTTTTCTGTTCTTGAGTCCTCTTTCAACAGACTGAAAATTGAAAATTTTGATTTGTTATAGATTCCAGGTGAAATCTAGACAATTTTGAGAGGGTGCCTGAGGGTCACTTAAAATTGAAAAGTTTTA